AATTGGGGTGGGTGTGATCACTCAGTCGCGGTGATGTTGCGCTCCGATGACCCTTACTAGCAGGAAGAAAAGCTGGCTTTGATGACAAGTAGTGTTGATGGGTGACCCTCTGTGATGATCCGCTGACTTACAACGGCAGGTTCACTTCTCCGGTGAAAAGACAGGTAAGACGGAGATTCAACTACCTGGGGCTGCCCGAAAGAATGACTCCAGGTGGCCACTTGAACGACGAGACCACAATACGTCGTTGGGGCGAGTATCTACAGCTCCGTGACGAATACTGCCCTCAAGACAGTGGGTTGAGGGATTAGTGGAGATGAGTCCACTAATCGGCTGAGTCCAAAATAGTGCAGTCGAAATATGCAGATTGTGAATAATCACTGTCCGTGATTTGAGCCAGGCCAAGAACTGATTCGGCAATTGACTCTCGGTGACTCGTTCTTAGTAATTGGGGCTTTGCGACTGCGACTGTCTACTGACTGACTGCTGACTAATTGGCCGACTGACTGGGCGACTAACTGGCCTAGTAACTGCCCTGGTAACTGACAACTGACTTGGATGTCCGGAGGCAGCCCTTATATATCCTTGATTGACTCCACCCGTAATGAGGGATTCTGTAGGGGTGGGTCCATGGCAACCCGATGTCCTCGGACGATGGCCATATCTGAGTATTCATATTATTTTATGACTTCTGCTTGCACCGGGCTGATCCGTGGTCAAGAGGGTGGAAAAGCGAGGGTGAGCTCAGAGCTCGCGTTCTACGCGTGATTCAAGGAATCGGTCCCCTTTTATGATTCCCGGAATCTCAGTTTGACCCTTCGTAATGATGACGCACGTCTATCGAGGGGGAGCGATAATGGGGTGGAAATCGTCATAATTTCCGATCCATTGGGTCTTTACGAGCGCACGTGTTCATAGAATGACGTCATGTCCTCTTGGGGTGCGATAAGCTAGAGCATAACCTTGGAGAATTGTGATGCCTTCTTCCAGGTGAATTATCCGGTGTTCATTAGAATTGGCCTAGTCAAAACTGCTGAATGCATAGAGTGGAAAATCGTGGTTTTACCAATGAGTGGGGAGTCGACTGTCGATTCATTCATGTTACTCGTGAAGTATCTCAATTCACACCTGGTCGGGTGTATTTCGGGGCACGTGCGAGTCTTGCATTTTCCGGTGATTATTTCCTTACTCATTATAACAACGGTCCACAGAGGCTGGGTCTGGCTATTTGGAAACGCTTGATTATGAGTTTTTCCATTAGGCTGATTTTTATGACTGTGGTCACCCTCAAGTCGGCGTCCCCACATTTAGTGTCACGGAGCCCTCATAATTTACGCATTTTATGGGGTTCTTACCATCGTCGACAGCAAGCCATGGGTGTGGTTTACTTATTGCATGATCGCAGTTTCCATAGACACTGGGTATCTCTATTGGTCAATTGTATCTTTGTATAGCCACGAAATCCACTGTTCCCCCTAGTCACCCCAGCAACAATGGCGGCACCCCTGGTACACGCATCGCCTTGGGTGGTAACAAACTCTGTCGTCCTGCACGTTCCATGATATTTGTTAAAGATGGAGATTTTTGTTTATAAACTCCATAAGGAAAACGTGGAGTCCGCGACACGAGGTTACCCCACTCTCAATTAGGAATTTCCCTGGCACCCAAAAAAATAATGAACTATTGAAGAAAAACCAGTGGGTGATGAATTAAATCTTTCTTGAGAACACGTAGAAGTTTCAGATTTTTTTTTAGATTTCATAAGAAAGTTTATAAACAAATGATTCGGAAAATTATAAGTTTTGGGGCAATTACGTCCTCACGCGCAGGCGCTCGATTCGAATGTCAGTGAGCATCATGAGAAAGGTATGGTTTGGACCATGGAACTGAGAGAGAGAAAACCCTCGACAGGTTTACCAACTCGAGACGTATTTTAATATTATTTGTAAGGATATTTTCCCGGGTTGTTCACCCAGGAAAAGTCCAATCTACTTTTTGGCCGTCTCTATCCCTCGTATGGTGGGCAGCAGGCTCTGGGGCAAACTCGTCCACTCAGAGGACTTTTGTGGCTGGACAACGGATTGTCCAGCTAGCATCAGTGTGACACGGTAGAGTGGGCGAGGTCGACCAGGAGTATTACCATCACATCCTCACGAGCCTTTGCAAGTCGTGTATTATGCCTTACAGCATAATCCCCACAATGAATTAAATTCATGCCCCTTCTGGAGAGTCTTTGGACTCCTCCAGTGTTCATTCTCCTCCCGAGTATTTTATCTCGAGAGAGTTCAAGGATCAGCTGGGACTCGTCTGACCAGGGTGGAACTACGTGTTACATACAAAATTTTATTCGAAATTTTTATTCGTATTCACGCTCGCTAAATTTCGTTCATTCAGTGCTCACCGGATGTTACCTGCAAATCTTGCAAATTCTTTTACCGTCCTCAAAACCTAAAACACACATATAGGCACGTGTGCCTTCAAGGATGCTGCCCTAGCATTTTCCAAAAGACTCAGACGCGTCTTAATGCGCACAATTCCAAAATTCAGTTGCGCTTGAGGAGCCATCGCGAGCATTTCCCCGCTAGACTCCTGTAATTATCCCCATTGTTTTCAATGAAATCTGCTAACGCCGTAAACCATCCCTTCTAAATCAATAGATTTCAAAAGAAGGCTTATTGGACCGGTAAACCGCGCATTTGATTTGCAACTCTATCAGGGTCATTACAGTAAAAATTATGAACAACCACGCACATCTTCGTGGTTCACTTATGTGTTATGTGTTGAGAGACAGGACTCACAAGGAACACTACGCAGGTATCCCCCTCCGATTTCGATGAAACTTAAATATGTTATAGGGGACCCGTAAGAAAAAAAAAACTCCAAGAGAATTAGAATTTAGCGAGAATAAATTTCCGCTTCAACCAGCCGGGAATCGAACCCGGGTCTCCCAGAAACGCGCCGGGCACTCTTACCGAGTAAGCTACCGGGAACCACAGAAATTCACTCTCAAATTCACCTCAAACACCGCCTAACCTCCTTTAGGCATTAAAGAACTCTAAGGGATACGTATTTTTTTTTAGCTGCCCATATTGGGTTTTAGGGGGTGAAAGTGCTCTCTGAAGTTGACAACCTCTCGGGGTCATTTTTCGATTGCACACATAAGGAAGCTTTTTAAACAACTCTTTCGCAGTGTATCATGAAGGTCACAAGGAATGATGAAAATGCGAATTAGAACCGTCTCCGGGGGGGTGAAATATGGAGGGTAAACTACCCTTGTGAAAATTCATTTTTCTCATAGAAAAAAAACGTTTGATGGAAATCCCATGGGACAAATTCCATTTGAAAAAGTAGAAAAGAATACAGAATACCTGTTTTGATTTTTTTTAATCGAAATTTAAAACTTAAAAAAATAGATTTTTCGTGAATTGCGAAATTTCAAACTTTTTCCTATACAAAACGAAGCTTACGGCTAATGATAAAGAAAACCATTGGGACAGGATCCAGGAGTGGTGTCGGGGAGGTTAACTACCGTTGGGAGGGGGGGGGGGNAATGATACTATTGACTTTTTTTCTTTCAATCTGACCCCAATTGTGAAATAAAACAATTTTAATGAGTGGCGAACCTCGAAAAGCGGGGCCGTCCTCACAGCGCGACCGAACTCGTAAGTGGAAATTCTCGGGCGACGTTGCCGCTTCAGTGCGAGTGGCCGTAGAGTGGGGTGAAAGTGCCGGGTCATCAAGCGGTATGGGTACATTGGTGAGTAGATTTATTATTTTTATAAAATTTTCAAAGAAGATTACAAAAAGAAAAAACATTATTTCAACAAGTCTGATACCTGTTTGTTGTCATAATTAGAATACTGTCTCTGATGGTAAAATGCGGCATGTAGAAAGAGGTTAGAAGTGCCTGAGCAATTTTATGGAGACGAAAATCCCTTTCTTATTTTGTTTTTTTAATTTTATATTATAACATTGAAATAATTCTCAATTTGCATAATCCAATGACGACAGTTCTTAAAGTAAAAATCTTCCGAATATTTTGGAATGATTAATTTAATTCATTTCAGTTTAGAAGTCGTCCCACGTGTTGCGAGCACGATAAAAACAACTTGATGAGCTAAACCAAAGTGAGTACGAGTGTCGTTTATTACTTTGTGATCAAATCAATTTATCTATAGCTTTCAATGACAAATTTTCTGGGACTAATTCCAATTTAAAATCATTCCAATCACCTTTTTCTCATGAAAGTGGTGAAATTATAGAAAAATTGAATTCCAAATTTTTGTAGATTGTGAATTTTTATCGTAAACCAGACATTGAGAAAATATTTTTCATGAAAAAAATAACTAGGAGAAGTTGATATTCAAGTAGTCGAGAGATGGAGGATACCAAGTAAATTTTTCCTGCCAAAATCAAATTTGGGTTGTCCCAAAAATGATTTATTTTAGAGAGAAATGTCAGAGCATCATTTTTATGGAGAATTTATAAAGCAACAGAGAAACTTTCTTCTTCTCCCTAAATGAGTGATAAGCTAAATAATTTGGTATTTATAAACATTAAATTTGTTCAGAGATATATCAAAATATAGAACTTTTCCTAATTTCAGAAAGAATGACATCTAAGAAAAGACTAAACGTGAGACCCAGTCTCAAAGATATCGATGAGGATGCGCTGGAGGATCTGGGCGATGATGAGGATACCGACTACTCTGACGCCGAATTCAACTCTGCGAGGATCAGAGTGATAATTCTGAGCACTCCGATCCAGGAGAAGAACCCCCAGTCGTTACCCGTATAACTCGCAGTTCTAAAAGTCCTCGATTAGTAGTACAACAAAAGAGTATCCCAGCAACTACTCCAAAACCAGTTCGAGACCTGGAGAAGAGACGTATGTCTATGAGAGTGATCGGTCCAAGGAAACATGCTAGAATTTCTCCCCAAAAAGTATCTGAAACTCGAGCTTCATCCAAAAATCGACCATCCAACTCAAGAGACCGATCGATGAAGGAGCTGAGCTCCAGTCTTCAAGACACATGCAGAGAAAGCGTCGATGATCATATAGAAAAACAGTATTTCATGGGTAAAGACGGAATAACTCGATGGGATGTGCAACCACCCCCGCAAACTCAACATCGTCATCACAATGTATTTAGTGAAACTCCAGGTCCAAAACGTCCAGCAAAATTGTGTCAAACTCCGCTTCAATGTTGGGAATTATACTTTCCTGATAGAATTATCAATCGACTCGTTGAATTCACGAATTGTAAATTAGAAATCATCAAGGCAAAATACGTGAGAGACAGAGATTGTCCTCCCACCGATGCAATGGAGCTTCGTGCAGTTTTTGATCTGCTCTATCTGAGTGGAAGCATGAAAATGTCACACGTTCAAGTTAATGATTTATGGGCAGATGATGGTATTGCCCCTGAGTTTTTTAGAGCTACTATGAGGAGCAATCGATTCCTCCTGCTTCTGAGGGCATTGAGGTTCGATGACGTTGACACACGGCTTGAGCGGAAAGCATTGGATAAATTTGCACCAATTAGAGATCTCTGAGAACATTTCAACAGGATATCGGAGGCATCCTATACTGCTGGAGAGTGCGTCACAATCGATGAAATGATGATGGCATTCAGGGGTCGGTGCAGTTTTCTGCAATATCTTCCATCTAAACCAGACCCATATGGGTTGAAAAGTTTCGCAGTTGTCGATGCTAAGACTTATTACACAATCAAGATGGAGATCTACGCTGGCAAGCAGCCTCCAGGTCCGTACCAGGTTGATAACAGTGCTGCAAGCGTAGTGCAGAGAATTTCGGAGCCTATTGTCAATGCAGGGCGTAACATCACCATGGATAACTATTTTACATCGATGAAGGTTGTTGATAGCTTACGGGAAGATGCTCGCACATCAGTTGTAGGTACACTGAAAAGGAATAAACGCGAAATTCCTCCCGTGTTTATTGACACAAAGAAACAAGTACTTTACTCTAGTAAAATTGGACATAGTAACGGGAAAGTTCTAGTTTCGTACAAAGCCAAAAAGAATAAGACAGTTTTGATGATTTCTTCGATGCACGATACTTGTCATATCGATCCAGCCACTGGAAATCGGATGAAGCCTGATGTGATTATGTATTACAATAGTACCAAAGCTGGAGTCGACATTGTGGACAAAATGAAAGCTTCATATAATTTCACGATTGCACGATTCAGCTGTCGATGGCCCCTTACAGTCTTCTTCCACTTGCTAAACATTGCTGGTATCAACGGCTATGTCATTCACAGTGCAAACAAACAAGAAAAAATGCGCAGAGCCGATTTCTTGAAAGTTCTTGCAAAGAATCTTATCAAACCTCACATGGAGAGACGATTGAAAATCAAGACCCTGCCAACTGTACTTCGAAATTCAATGGAAAAATGCCTGGGTCGGACTGGAAGTAAAGGGGCCGAGCAAGAAGATTCCACTGGGAAATCAGAACGGTGTCACTTTTGTCCATCACGTAAGAACCGAAAGACTCAAAGCAAATGCTACAATTGCGAGTTTTCTATCTGTGGTGAACACACAAAGAAACTGTGTCGAGCTTGTTACGATAAGTATAATGGCTATGATGACTATTAAATTGTACAGTGATGATCGTATAATTTAATTGAAGGTGATACTAGGCATTAGGTGTGAAGAAGGTACAGGTTGATTCAAATATTAGTTGGATAAATTGTCTAGGCAGAATGTCACGTGATGAGAAGATGGGAAAGTGAATATTTGACACAACTGAAAGTTGGGAAAATTTCAACAAGTCAAATTGTTATTTAGTCTGTTCATTGAATGAGTTAGATACTTTTATTGTACGTACTAAGATTGAAAAATCAGAAAAACTTCCAAATGAGAGAGATATGATGATAATATTTTCTGAATAGTTTAACGAACTCAAAGAATAGTCAAAACTAAGACATAGGTATTAGAGAAATCGTTGGAGATAGAGACGATATATGTTCTGTTTTTATATCGAGTTATGTTTGATTTTAATTGAAATTTACGTGAATTTAGGATCTTAAAACAAAAGATTCAGACAAATAAGATGAATAAATTCTACAGAGATTCACCCGTTATTGAATTGATAGATAGAATGATTGGGGTCCTTTCATATCTTATAGTTATCTCGAGGAAGGAGAAAAAACTTCCAAATGATAGACTTATGATGATCATAATTTTTTGGAATGTTTGACCAACTCATAAAATGATCAAAGATAGAAATAAAAAAAAGATAGAGTTTTTTATTTCATTTTTTTGAAGAGAGATGGTACAGAAAAACTTTTATGTCGTTTTTTTTTCTCTAAGTAAATTATTTGAAAAATAAACTTGAATTGTATTAGATTTTATGAGACGATTTCAGAAAGAATACGTTGTTAATTAAACTGTTTGAACTGTTGAAAAAAAATGACTATTAAGCTGATGAAATATTGTGAAAAAACCATGAATAATAAAAATTCATTACTTGGATCAATTGGTAATTTAATATTTTCGGAACCTTGCCTCTCATACGAAAATTTGAAATATGTAATGCGCGCGCTGAGCACACGAGTGCCGGTACGTAACGACTGGCAATGCCGAGCTCGAAAAAGCATTGCGGGGAAATGCTAACGGCGCGACCAACGACGTTCGGGAGTTTAGCGCGACCAATCTAGTGTTAACAATCCTCATGGTATTTTATCGAATCGATCGGAGCAACCTCATTCATTTTCGAAAGAAATCAGTAATGACCATGAATCTAAAAAATTTCACCGAAGGCCAGAGTAGAGATTCCATTAAATGGCTTCCATTTCCAATTTGAAAAAATGAGTTATGATGAAATATTTTGAGGAATTCAAATTTTCATCTGTATATGAATATGGATGGGTGGTACAAAGAAGAGCCGATGATTTTGTATAGTAAATACTGGATCGATGATGAAATGTATTTCGGTTGCTCTTATCGCTTCGATGTGATATCGTTTTCAATGAGACGTAAATGGCGACATATGACAATACCATTCTGTTTGATAATGCAGAACCACAACTGAAGAAATTCGGGAGTTGTAAACATATTGATGCAAATGGGTCATTTGTTATCTGAGGATGAAATTACTTTGATCAATATAACTTATACGATATCAATGTTTTTCATTTCCATCCCTCTTGTGAATTACAATCAGTCTATGAACATACATCGAAGAGAAAAGTAGTTTTTCGGTGAGTGTCGTGATCTATACTTGTTCTACCATGAAAGTTAATCCGATCAACGTTATCCGACTTCTGATGGCAACATTTGAAGTTCTCAATCTTGCTGAAACACCCGTGAACAACGAGGAACGTGAATTAGCAGACACGTTCGAAAGGATATTGATTCAATCAATGGAGGAATATAATGGAGTTGAAATGATCGAAGAAACATCCCTGGATTTTCAAGAGCCTTATAAAGATATCGAAATGATAGCGGTCGAGGATAAAGAATTTCAACCACATACAGAAGAATCACCTGACAGTTGTTCGGAGGAAGAGGAACCTGTAGATTTCGAATATGAAAAGAATGCCATTGACTTCTGGAGAAGTGGAAAAAAGAAGAAGTATCTCTCTATAGAAACTGTTTCCCATTGATTCAGGAAGGTGAAATCGCGTAGACAGTTACGACGCTGGGCGAATCAAATCAATAAAGGAGGGACATACATGGAGAAGTTGAAACGCATTTCGGAGTACACATTAAGGGGGTCATCCCATGTGGCGGCCGGTTTTTGATGCTATATTTGGGAATTTTTTGTGGGGAAATGAACGAAGTGACAACATCGAAATTTTTACTACATATTTATTGGCATTCCAAAATAACACTCTATTTTTTTGGGACAAAACTCATTGACACATGCCGAGCTATCCAGCGGCAAAGTCAGTCATGAAAAAAAGGGGTAAAACGGTATACACGATTCCGAGAGTGCTGATGATCTGAAATTAAAAAATAAAACGGGTTCTCAATCTGTGAAGGTTCAGCTATCTGTTGAAATAGGATTTTTCAAAAATATCAAAAATTGAATTTTTGGCAGGCTCTTGAAATTTTTTTTAAGAATTTTGATGTTTTTTTTCGACTATTGCCTTAACAAAAAACTAGTTTAGATATCGCAATTATCCTAGTTCAGCAGATGCATAGANTTGAAATAGGATTTTTCAAAAATATCAAAAATTGAATTTTTGGCAGGCTCTTGAAATTTTTTTTAAGAATTTTGATGTTTTTTTTCGACTATTGCCTTAACAAAAAACTAGTTTAGATATCGCAATTATCCTAGTTCAGCAGATGCATAGACATCTACTGAGTAACTCTTCCAAATTTTGTTGAAATCCGTTCACTAGATTTCGAGTTATCGTGTCAGCCAATTTCGAAAGTGCAGTTTCGAGAAAAACGCGTTCGAAGAATTCACATACCATTATCCGGTATTGAGTGTTTGGCCCAATTCACTGCTATAACTTTCGAATGACTTCGAATATCGCAAAAATACTTCGTACACATATTCTACGATATATATAGATGGAATTAGTGTAAAAAAAAACAAGCAGGGGTTCGAACCTTTTTGGCCGAAGCCATCTGACCGTTACTTTATGTGTTATAACTCTTCTTCTTTCGTTCATTTCTACCAATTCCATTGGTAGTAAGCTTCCGAATGGATCTGTAGTAATTCTATTAAAGAAAGAAAAAAAATGGAAATGCCTCCTGATGATAAAACAGAAAAACGGAAATATCTCGAAAACTTTGTATGAATGGGTATATATATTTTGATTGATTCGGATAGAAGGTATTGAAACGAATATTTTGAGAAGAAAAAATTGAAATCGGTTGCGTAGTTTTTAAGCTATTGCACATAAAAGGTTTTCAGAGAAAGTCGAATATCTCGGAAACTACCCATGCGATTCAGCTTATTTTCAATGGGAAGGATTGTTATCATGAGAGGAAGATTCTCTCCAAATTTTAAGTTGATCTCTCAATTTTTGCACAAGCTACAGTGATTACAAGGATTTTTATGAAAAAACAGAAAAACGGAAATATCTCGAAAACTTTGTATGAACAGCCGTATATGTTTCGATTGATTCTAATAGAAGGCATCGAAGCAAATATTTTGAAAAAAAAATTGAAATCAGTTGCGTAGTTATTAAGATATTGCACATAAAAGGTTTTCAGAGAAAGGCAAATATCTCGGAAGCTACTCATGCGATTGAGCTCATTTTCAATAGGAAGGATTGTTATCATGAGAGGAAGATTCTGTTCAAATTTCAAGTTGATATCTCAATTTTTGTACAAGCTAGAGTGATTACAAGNTTGTTCAGATTTCAAGTTGATATCTCAATTTTTGTACAAGCTAGAGTGATTACAAGGATTTTTATGAGAAAACGGAAATATCTCGAAAACTTTGTATGAACGGGTATATATGTTTTGATTGATTCGGACAGAAGGCATCGAAACGATAATTTTGAAAAAAAAAATTGAAATCTGTTGACTAGCTTCGGAGATATTAGCGAAAAACGATTTAAAAACGAATAGCTTTTTCTCAAAAACTATTTGATCAATCGGGCTGCACTTTTGCACAGTTAGTCCTTGTTAAGGTCTATAATCTGAAAAAATTTCAGATTTTTTGGAATAAGTTTAGCNGTTGATATCTCAATTTTTGTACAAGCTAGAGTGATTACAAGGATTTTTATGAGAAAACGGAAATATCTCGAAAACTTTGTATGAACGGGTATATATGTTTTGATTGATTCGGACAGAAGGCATCGAAACGATAATTTTGAAAAAAAAAATTGAAATCGGTTGACTAGCTTCGGAGATATTAGCGAAAAACGATTTAAAAACGAATAGCTTTTTCTCAAAAACTATTTGATCAATCGGGCTGCACTTTTGCACAGTTAGTCCTTGTTAAGGTTTATAATCTGAAAAAATTTCAGATTTTTTGGAATAAGTTTAGCCAATTAACTGCTCAATTTTCCAAAAATTTACCACCGTAAAGGTGGCGATGGACATTGACATCGACAGATGTGGTCGCCAAACTTCGTATTTCTGCGTTTCAGACCATTCTACATCATTTCCAATCAAAATTAGAGAATGTGAAAACAGCACGATTACAATGCTTCCATTCGGAAGCAAAAAAACTAAATTAATTGATTAGCATTAAGTAATTATAAATCGACGGATGGATGAAAAATAATTAATTAATTGAATGAATAAGTTGAAAAACAAGTTGATATCTCAATTTTTTCACAAGCTAGCGTGATTACAAGGAGTTTTATGAAAAAACTGAAAATCTGAAATATCTCGAAAACTTTGGATAAATGGTATATATGTTTTGATTGATTCAGATAGAAGGCATCGAGATGAATATTTTGAAAAAAAAAATTGAAATCGGTTGAATAGTTTCTGAGCTATTGCAGACAGAAGGTTTTCAGGGAAAGTCGAATATCTCGGAAACTACTCGGTCGATTGGGCTCATTTTCAATAGGAAATATTGTCATCGCGGGGGGAAGATTCTGTCCAAATTTCAAGTTGATTCCTTCATTTTTGCACAAGCTAGCGTGATTACAAGGATTTTTATGGAAAAACTGAAAATCTGA